CAATAAATTCAGCTAGTTTGGTTCAGGGGTGTTGAGTGGCGGCCCATTCCTTTCTCGCGTCTTGCTATGTAGTTTAGGCTGCCCTTACACTCGCTGTGTAGCCCGGGGTAGTTTTGAACTTGTGGTGATCCTCCTGCCTCAGCTTCCCCTCCTGAGTGCACCTGGCTAACCCCTCCTTTCTGTCACTGGGTGTTGGCCTGGCTCTCAGGGGGCCCAAGAAGCCTGCTCAGCTCTGAGCATCCCCCAGAGCCTGGACTGCGCCTTGCAGAAGACAGGGGGCATTGTTCTTGCCCTTTTTGAGTCTCATTCTCAGCAAGGGTCCTCTTCAGAAGCCCAGCAATCCCTGGCCAGGGGCAGGAGATGCGAGCAATCAGCTTGAGGAAGTGGCTGCTAACAGGAAAGGAGGGGTGGCGTGTGGGCAGCCAGAGACCGACCCCTGCTTCAGCGGTGATCGGAGTCTCACGGGTAGTGAGTGCGCACTGTGTACATTTGGAAAAGAAAAGACTCACCAAAAAGTTTTAAAGGAGAAACATAAATGTAAGTAGAAAAACACCTAAAACTAAATTAGAATAATTTCCCATCGCAGACAGGGCAGATATTGTTTGCATCCGTTCACGCAAGGCAGGGTTGTCATGTGGCTTCAGCCGCAGGTCAGCTCATTCTGTTTCATTCTACTGAACTGGAACATCTTTTAGTCACGGAAATGGCAGCCCGCGGCACGGAGATTGTGACACTCAGATCTAACGTCCATGACAGTGATCAGTTCTTTACGGAAATGCAGTCTGGCCTGTCACACCCTACGTTATCAATAGTGTCACACACTCAAAGCTGCAAGGCAGCTGCAAACCAACACCTTTGTATCAGTTGTCTTTGCTGCATAATAAATCACTCCCGCATGAAGTGGCTTCAGAGGACAGCCCCTGAAATAGATCTGGGTCACTGGGGGTTCTTCTGGTGCGGCCCAGCCTGGTCTGATCTCAGCAGCGCTCACCCATGCACCTGCAACTCAGCAGGTGTGCGCACTTCAGGGCCAGCTGGTCCCCGTAAGTGCAAGGTGGGTCCCCGTTGGGAGGGCAGTGGAGGGCCTGCTTCTAGTTACCAAACAGACTCGCACACCTTGCTCATTGGCATTCTCAGGGTCGTAAGAGCATAGGACCGGGAGCATAGGACTTGGGATCACAAGCTCACTCTTGTCACCCGGCTCAGAGGAAGTCACCAGGCAGCCCTGAGCGGCCACTTCTGTTACCTGACAATCTGGACCTATTCTGGAAGGATTTCAGCTCTGGAAAGGGTTTCTTGTATTTCTGCTCCAGGATTTGATATGGTTCTAGAACATGGCTTAACCAAAAACATATTCTGGCTGTGGAGTGAGAGGGTCAAACCACCACAGGTCCTGGAGATAGATCAGTGCAGCAAGCCTCTGAAGCCAGGGAAGCGGCACACTTGTGTACGGCAGACACTACTGATACCCTAGTGTGTGACAGGACCGCTTGTGTCTGTCCTGTGTGCTGCGGTCACATGTGCCGACTCCTTCCCGGAGGCCGCCCTCCAGGGTGACTGGTGCCTGGGGGCCGTCGGGGTGGGTGCCCGACCCTGGGGCAGCCAGCTGTGCTCTGGCAGCCAAGCCCTCCAGCTGCGGAGGTCTGGGGTTCTTGCAGCCTCGCTCACAAAAGGAGCACTGCTTCGCTGGCAAACCACTGGTGAACACGGAACTTCACAATTTTTAATTTATTTTTTAATTACTGTAAAATAAAAATAGCATTCACTGTGTTCACTGTATGTGTGCCCAGCTCCGCGGACTTGAGCACGTTCCTGCGCTTGTGCAACTATCACCACCACCCAGCTCCACACTTCCGGGCCGAAATGGACAGCTCTCTCCAGGAAGCGCCCCCGGCCCGCATTCTGCTGTCTGTCCCTAGGAGTCTCACTACTCCAGGTCCCTCAGAGAAGGAAGTCGTATTTTACGCTCTTCCGACTGGCTTATTTTATCAGCACAGTGTCTTCCAGCTTCATCCTTGCTGTAACATTTATCAAAATTTCCTTTCTTCCTAAGGCTGAATAACAGCCCTGTGTGCTTGTGCACCACATTTTGTTTACTATGCATCCATCAATGCACACCTGAACCGCTTGTCTTTTGGTTACTGTGAACAATGTTGCTTTGAGCACAGCTGTACCGATCTCTCTCCAAGCTGCTTTCCCTAATTCTTTTGGGATTATCTAGAAGGGGAATTACTGGATCATATGGCAATTCTGCTTTTAATTTTTTGAAAACCGCCATATTGTCTTCCATAGCAGCCACACAATTCTACATCCCAACATAGTGCATGGTGTACGAGGGTTTCACTTTCTCCATGCCCCCACAAACACTTGGTATTTTCTCTGTGTTTTTTTATTTATTTATATTTATATTTACTTATTTTTTGGTTTTTTTGAGACAGGGTCTTGCTATGCAGTTCAGGCTGGCCTTGAGCTCACTTTGTAGCCCAGGCTGGTCTCCAACTCTCAATGATCCTCCTGCCTCAGCCTCCCGAATGCTGGGATTACAGGCATGCGCCACCACACCCAGTGAGACAGGGTCTCACTCTGCACTTCAGGCTGGCCTCAAACTCATGGCAATGCTCTTGCCTCAGCCTCCCAAGTGCTAAAATTACATGTGCACCACCACCACATCTGGTAATGAAGCAATGTGTGTGTGTGCGCGTGCATGTGAATTTTGAGAGAGCATCTTGCTATGCAGTCCAGGCTGGCCTTGAACTTGCGGCAATTCCCTCTTCAGCTTCCTGAGTGCTGGTGTTATAGGTGTGAGTTCCATGCCCGGCCAATGAAGCACTATTAAGTCACAGATTCTTTTGGGATTGATGAGCTGAGGTAATAGGATAATAACGTTCCTTTGTCTATGAGTGGCAACTAGCCTGACCTCAGTGTTTATCATTCCCATGCATGTTTTTACACATCTGCAATGTATGTATCCATAAACAATGTACAGTGCTTTTCTCCCTTTTACGCTGGGAACTGAGTCCAGGACCCTGGGGGTGCTAAGCCTGTGCTCCACCACTGAGCGGCGCCACCAACCCTCCGGCACTTTGTATGAGGTTTTAAAAAGTTCCCTAGGTGCACCACGCTGCATGGCTCCTTCCACCCCTTGCTCTTCACACAGTGCTGTCTCTGAGATTCAGTCACGCTGACCTATGCAACTGGAGGAGCTCAGAGTAGCCCAGGGTGAACACACAGTGTCCCCTCTCTGAACACGTGGACGTTTCAGTTTATGAGCTTGTGGGCTCCTTCTCCCCAGACTGCGCCGGGAGCTGTCATCCTCATCAAAGACTGTGTTACAGCAAGTCAGGAATCACAGGCGGGAGCAGAGGCCCTCCTCAAGATCACGTGGAGAGAGTTCCACCAGGTCTGTGTTCCCAGTCACTGTGCCATTCTGCCTTCCTGAGAACAGGCGCGTGGTGTCACACCGAGGTGGGTTTCTGGCCTGGCAGCAGAATTCACTCTGCTGAATGCACGTGTGGACCAGGGCCTCTGGAAGGGTCACGTGACCGGCAGCAGCTCACAGCTTTAGGACTGCTTGTCAGAGGTGCAATGTTTTGGATAAGCTCTGGTTTGCTTCAGAACCCGTCCCCTCTGGGGCGTTTCCACCACAGACTTAGAGTGACAGGCCCCACCTGTGCTGAATGACGGAGAACTAGGACTCTGGTCAGAACAGTGCCATGCTTATTTGCTCTTGGGTGGCAGCTGGGGAAAAGCAATGCAGAGACGTGACAGAAAACCTTGGCCAAAGATGTCAAAAATAACTAGAGAGCCATTTCCGTAGGGCTGGGATGAAAGATGACCTTGGAAGAAGCCGTCAGTCTTACTATGCTTCCATGCAAACTCAGCTTAGAACTATTTTTGGAACTTTAAACTTCCAATCTTGGATCTCACTCCAAGGCAATCTGGTTAATGGTAAAATAACTACTGACCATAGGAGCTGGACACTCTCTAAGAATGAGCTTCATGAATTACTTACCATGCAAGTCTCACCAGCATTGATTGTTAGCTTTCTCAATGCTACAAAGAAGTTTTAGTCCATTTTCTGTTACTATAACAAAATACTTGAGCATGGGTAGTGTATAAGGAAAAGAGGTTTATTCAGCTCATCATGCTGGAGGTTCAAGAGCATGGCACAGGCATCAGGTTGGCTCTGATGAGGACCTTATGGCTAACGATGGCATGATGGGACAGCAATCATAGGGTAAGGCAGGACGCCAAAGACTGGGAGAGGCCAGACTTGCCCTTTTCTAAGGACAGCACCCTCAGTGATCTGATTTCCCACTAAGGCCCATCTCCTAAAGGTTCTATCACCTTCCAGCACTGCCTTTCTAAAGACCGAGCACCCAAAGCCTAGCCCTTTTGGGAACACACTCAAGCCATTTCCAAGCCCTAGCCGGGGAATAGGACTTAATGAGGTGAAACAAGTTCATCTAAAGAGCTCCACTGCCCTGAGCCTAGTGTTCTAGTAGATGCTCTGTGTGACCTTGATGGTTGCTTCAGCGTCTATTCCCCAAGTCCTGGCCAGGTTTCAAGACAAGCAGGACACGCACTGGAGTCCAATCTGGAGAGTTTGTTACATATGTGGGTGGGAAGACACGAGGGTGTGGCAATGCTGATAAAGGAAGCCAGCTTACTGTAGGCCCTAAATACACCGGCACCATGTGCTCAAGCGTGGCATCTGCAGAAAGAGCCGAGGCAGACAGGCACCCTAGAAAGGGAGAGAAACAGGCACAAAAGGCCTACGTCGTATCTAGGCAATGTCCCACTGCTACACGGGGCCCAAGACAAGGTTCACAGAGCATCCTCAAATGTGAGACAGCTACAGATCTAATGCAGGGGACGGTGACTTGGATGGGGAATTTGGAGCCACCACTGGGGGTGGCCGGCCTCCTCTGCAGGGGGCTGTTGCAGAGGGTTTTCCCTCCCACTCCGCAAGTAAAATCAACCTGGCAGTGGCCCTGGAGGTGAGTGGGCGCTGATTTCTTTATTTATTAGACTTGAGTGCTTTAGTACAGAACGGTACAGAGATGATACATGTTTGTGCTTCAATACTTTCAAACATGGAGATTTTGATAATTTAAAGGTAAACAAGTTTCAAGACAGACTAGCTTTTTTTTTTTAAAATATCCTTTTGATAAATTATTTTTATATAAATAACAGAGAAAGGAAAACCAACATGTTTGACAAACGAAGTCCTGAAGCATGAGCATCGCTTGGTCAGAGGGTGGGGACAAAACAAGCAGCAACCATAAGAAACAAACCAAGGCAGGGTCCTACAGTTCTGTCCTAAGGAAGTAAGATCTCTTAAGGGAGAGGGGTGGCCAGGAGGAGACCTGGAAACTAATCCGAGTGCAGAGGGAGATTTCAAAGCCAAGAGAAGAGAACGCCACAATGCATCTAACAGGGCGGGCGAGAAACACTGTCAAAGGAAGGCGGAGGCTGCGCTGAACTAGCATACACCACGTTTGCAACGACGTCACAAGACACAGTAAGATACACACAGTCTGCGGGAGGGAGAGGGAGGCGGGGGCTGGGCGGGGACGTTTTTTGTGACTTCCACTGTCATATTTTGCGACAACAGCAGCAGAGTAAGTGGTGTGCTCACTCCTGGGCACTGGGGAACTGCTGAGTCCTGAGGATGAGGAGCCATCCTTCCAGCATCTGTTTCTTTAATTTCTGCTTTACAGCTACATTTTTATACAGAGAATAAAATGATCATTTTCTCTTACAACTACGATGACATATGACTGCACAATACACAAAATAAAGAATCGTAGGTATCTTAAACTGAGGGTAATCTGACAAGTGTTGCTTGCAAGGTGGGGACAGGTTCAGCAGCCTCAATCCAATGAGAGAGGACAGAGGGGCTCTGTTCTTCCCCTTCCTCCAGACAAGGGTCCCCTGCCCAGGACCTTCCTGACACTTGAGCCCTGCCTGGGCTGACCCTGCTCATTACAGAGGCTGTTAGGGACACTGCTACGGCAGGAAGGGGTCTAGTCAAGCGGGCAGGCCTAACCAGGCCCCAAAGGAGATGGAGGCCCCGGTGAGCGACTGCTCTTCACGCATCTGGCCTGGAGGACTTCCCTCAGGGTCACAACTCTGGACACAGGTGAGGGAGGGCAGTGCCAGCTGTGGAGATGCCAGCCAATGCCCAGCCTGGCTATGTGCGAGCACCCCAGCCCCCACCTGCAGCCATACCGGCAGGGGCATGAGGACTGGGGGAAGAATCTCCAACCTCACAGTGTGTCTGACCCCTGACTGCCACTTCTCGGCTGATCTGGATGAGAACAGGCACCGAGGGGAGGAACTGGAGTGAAGAGAGCAGATTCATCCTCAGTGTGAAATACTTTGAGAACACAGATACCTCTATGGATCCCAACGAGAACGAGAAACCAAAATAAGATCATAATGACACCCACACTTCTACCTTTCCATCCTCAAGCAATTTGCACATGTCGCTGGGGCTATGTACAAGGTCACAAACTCATAAATAACGGGGAGGAGTCCATTCGTCCTACAGTTCACAGGCTTCCGCGGCACAGCGCTCGCACACCAACTTCTCCTTATAGGATACATATATAAGGTACTCTTTTTAAAAAACACAATGCATTATTCTCTTTTGTTTCAAACGAGAAGAGGGCATCATGAAACACGAGAATGCAGCGCGACAGGGCCGGCCAGGGCGTGCAGGGCTGGGAGGAGCGGCGGAGCACTGTGGGGAGGGGCTGCGGCTTATTTTTTTAACTGCTTATTTCTTCATCTGTTTTATTCAGTTTCTTCAGCGTGTCCAGCAGTTTCTGTGGGGTGAGAATGTGCGTGGATCCTGGGGGAGGCAGAGAAGACAGTGAGCTGCGCCCGCGCCGGCTTCAAGCGCTTTTCCTTGCCTGCGCTCCTCCGCTCCCAGAGCTGCGCCGGCCCCTCCCCCGCCCCGGCACCGCTCCAGGGGACGCAGGGAGGGCTTGGGGGTGGGGTCTGGGCCCTGCCGCAGTCGGCCTGGGAGAGGTTTGGGGACTGTGGTTAATGAAATCACACATGGGGCTCAGGCACGGCCCCAGGCGACACCGAGGAACAAGCCCTCCCCATCTGAGCCCAGCGCCATCCGCCCGGTGATGGGGCAGCTGCTTTCCTCGTTCTCTCTAAACTCAGGGTGAAGCCAGGGAGAGAATTCCAAACAGTATGGCCAAGGGAGCAGGGGGAGAACAGGACAGGGGCTGGCAGGGGACCACGTGTGGAAAGAATGGTACCTGGTGCGGAGCACATGGGTGGGCAAAGCCCCTGGGGAAGCCACTGACCCCGAGGAGCTGGTTTTGCCGTGGCGGGGGACCTCAGGTGTGAGAGGGGAAGGGCGGGGACCTGAGGCCTTACCTTGCCGAGACCGCGCATTGTAAGATTAGAAATGCTTGCCAAAGTTTAAGCTAATGGAACCAGAGAGACTTCTAGTGCAAAAATAAAAAAATGAAAATTAAAAAATGAAGGCCTCTTTCATAAGGAGAGAGATATCTAATAAGTGCATTAAAAATGATGCATGGATCGTGTGATTTGGACATGGACTTGATCAAACAGAAAGGAAGTGACTTGTGAGCATGAGGCCTGCATACATGCAGCAGAGGACTTCAAAGAAAGATCCTGGTGGGAAGGAAAAATAAACAAAAGAGATCCGTGCTTGAAAATGTGCCTCCCTGGAGACCGGGGGAGGGACAGGCCTTCTCGGGAGTAGGTAAGGACAAACCCCAGATGCCAGATTTCCCTCCAAGGCAGGCAGAAGAAAGCTTTGGCTGGCATGCTGGGCGTCCTTCCGACACCAGGACCCCTATGCCTCTGACCACTGCTTGCTCGGCTGACCAGGACTGCTGGCACAGGGGACCTTTCTGGTCAGTCCAGACCAGTGGAGTATGGGCAATATCCTGTCTGTTGTGAGAGGCGTCTGCCAACATCCCATCCTCTGCAACTCCAGCCCCAGCCCCCGCTCACTGCTGTGTCAGGAGCCAGCCCTTGGTTACTTCCCAGGGACACTAAAGTGGATGCACTGAGCACACAGCCTGTCCGGGGCCCCGTTCTCTCAAGCTGACTCATTCTTCTGCAGTCCTGAGGCTCCTAGGCAGATGTGACGCAGGTTTCAGGAATAGGTCCCTGGGTGTTTTTAGAGCGCCCCTTTACCCTAAAGCAGTCACTTCTGTGAACAATCTTCCCACTAGTCCTACAGGAAGTCAAAGGCTGCTGCACAAACGAGGTCAAAAGACATTAACATGAATGAAGCTCTGAAGTGAGAACCACTGCCAGAATGAGGCCTTCCAAACCTCACCTCGATGCAGCCTGTGTCTGGACGTGGAAAGACAGTCTCTGGATACGGGATACAGGGTAGCTGGGCTTCCTTAAAGGCAACAGGGAGCACACCTGCCAGGGACGACCATCCCTAACTCACTGCTCCCCAGCTATCCGGCTGTAGTCCAGGAAACAAGAAGGCAGACTCAGTTTGGAGGGTAACGCCAAATCCCAAGGGGTTCCTCTGGTCCTGCTGACATGCAAATTCAGCAGTTGGGGAAGGTCAAAGAGAGGTTCATGAATCTATACTCTAGAATTTTCTGATATTATCTGATCATAGACCATCTGAAGTTCCCTGTCTTGACTGAGAAAGAATTTTGGGATACAGCCTTGGTGACAACCGGGTACATTTCTGGGCCTTCTCTTCCCTGGCTTCTTTAAAAGGACAAGACTGGTTAGTATTAAACTAAATCACCTCAAAGCCAGTTTGCATCATTTCAATAATGTTGACTGAGCTTTTCTCTACCAAAAGCACTGCAAAAAGCTAAGCCCAAAAGGCACACTTTACAGATGTTCTCATTTTGATTGTTTTTGTTTTTCTTCCGTTACCAGGAATTGAACTCACGACCTTGCGCTTGCCAGACAGGCGCTGTGCCACTGAGCTAAATCCCCAGCCCCGATGTTCTCATTTTGAATCTAAACGTGGCTATGTCAGCCTTCCAGAAGAGAGCAGCAGGTGGTTTCCACTATCTGTGGATCTAATCCACATAACTGGATGCTGATGAAACAGAGTAGGTGCCTGGCCACGGTTTTCAAAGCTGTGGGCAACACAGCAAGCTCTGATGGGACAAAATGCTTCCTCTACATTGACATCAGCTGTATAAGCAAGAGTTCTAAGACTGGCTAATCACCCAGCACAAGCTGGCACGGACCTGCAGGCCCTGGGAGACCCCAGTGGCAGTGGGGAGGAGAGTCTGATGACCAATGGCGCTGGGTGCGCAGCAGTCGGGCCCACCCCTCCACCCATGGGCAGGGAGGAAGGGCAGAGTGGAGGAGTGCTGGCTTGGGGTGAGCTGGTGGCACAAAGGAGTCTCTGTCCTCTAAATTCTAGGCACTTGGGGGCTTCCTGGGAGGGGAGGAGATGGAAACGATGCTTAACAGCAGTTGGGCTCCGAACGTAAGTCCAAGCGTGAGTCCCACTGAGGAGGAAACTTACCTGACCCCAGTCTGGAATACAGCAAAAATATGAAAAATGAAAATGCAGACCAGGCGTGGTGGCACACGCCTATAATCCCACCATACGGGAGGCTGTGGTAGGAGGATTGCTGTGAGTTTGAGGCCAGCTTGGGCTCCAATACAAAGTGAGTTCAAGGCCAGCCTGAACTACAGAGTGAGACCCTGTCTCAAAAAGACAAAAAAGGCCAGGTATGGTGATGTACACCTATAATCCCAGCACTTGGGAGGCTGAGGCAGGAGGATTGCTGCACGTTTGAGGCCAGCCTGGGCTACATAGTAAATTTAGGGGCAGTCTGAACAATATAGTGAGACTCTCTCAAAAAACAAAACAAAACAAAACAAAACAACACAAACACAAAAACTATTTTCTCCCAAGTGCTGTGTACAGCACAGTAGGTCTAATCCAGACTCTGGTTGCTTCATTTGCTGCTGACAGCCTCTCCAGCATTCCCTCACGACTGGTCCTATTGGCCCAAATCAACCAGAGGGAAGTGTTAGACTCGTAAAAGGTGTCTCTTCATGACGATTCAGAGGGATCATGGGCAGACAGGAGAATGAGCGTTGGTGGAATCTCCGTACTTCACCTGTCCACACTGACTATCTGAGACTCGGACCTGGGGAGCTGCCTCAGCGAGAGGAGAGGGAGGCACTGGGAAGGAAGCGAGGCATTGTCACCTACACAGGATGTCTGCTGGGGACAGTCACTTCTGGGCAAGAAGACTCATCTCCTAAAGATACACTGCCACAGAACCAATATTCAAGGAGAAAACTCAGGCTCTCCAACAGTCTGCACTGTTCTGCCCTACGGTTGCCTGGGCTGTCACCCCCCAACCCCCATGCTGGGAATTGAACCCAGGGCCTCCAACACGCTAGGCCAAGTGCTCTACCACCAAGCTAAATCCCCAGCCCTAGGTCAGACTGTAATCTGCTCTCTGGCTTGCTGGTATCAGGGCTCTGTGCTTCAGTGTCCTAACTGAGCCCTATAAAATCCAACTGCCAGCCAACTATTTTAGAGGCGAGAACTTCAGGCACCACCAGAACCTGTGCTTTCTCTGTCTTGACAGCAACAGAGCTCCAGCTGAAAACAAGGGAAATCCTACCATGGGGAGGCTTCTTTGGAAGAGGGACCCCCTGCATTAATGCCAGCAGGAGAATCCTTGGGGAGCAGGTCTGTGACTCCTTTGGATTCTGCAAGTGGCCTGTGGTCACTGCAGTTGGCAAGTCCTGTGGGGTCTCCAACATATCCTGTAGCAGATGCTGCCTACTACTTGCCAAATGTGCTCAGAGCCGGATCTCTAACACCTGATCACGGTGCTTAAACAACAGCTTCTATTTCCCATCCACTGGCCTTGCTTTCTAGAGAAACGTGGCCCCAGGCAGGATGGGGGCCAAGACCCAGGGCTATCACCAGCTCCCTTCTGGCTCATGGCTACCTTGGAGTATGCCATTCCTCCGCCAGCACCAGGAGAGAGGAGGCGATAACTGGCGCAGCCTCCTGTTCCTGCCTTCAGGATGCAGGACCGTCTTATAGAAAGGAGCAAGCTTCTAATGTTATGCAGCCAAGGTTGAGCTGGATCGTTCCGCTGCAATTCCTCAGAAAGACGGTGGCAGGGTGGGGGCTCTGCACGGTTTGAGGCACATATCTGCGTTACCGAGTTACACACCGTGAGGGCTCCAAGGAGCCTCTGGGTGCTCCAATCCCACTTCAGGAGTGGGGTGACCTTTTGTCACTGTGTTCGTGGAGGAGGAGGGCAGGACTCCAGTCCCCCTGGTTCCGAGCCCAGGCTTCTTCCAACTGCTTACAGGTGACTCCGGCTCTGTGACTCACCGAGCCACATCTCAGCTCAGGGTGAAAGGCTATTTTCAGGGTTCATCCTCAGCAGTGTACCCAAGGCTAGGTGCAAAAAGGTGGCTTCACCATGGATTATGTAACAAAGCTGAGGAATTACCACTGTAACAGGTCAGTCAGCCACTTAAAACACATCATAGGAGGTGCTAACACTTGTGACGGATGGAGGGAGATGAAGGAATGAGGACAACGTGGAAAAACACATTTGGGTCATTTACCAAACAGCAAAGGGGTTCCTGGGTAGCAAGCTCGGTGCGAGAGAGGAGGATGCTCTTATAATGCACACAGCATCAAGGACAGATTTCCCCTGAAAGGTTCCAGACCTCTCTCAGAGACCTGACAGGGAGACTGCATAGTCACCTGACTGCTGAAGATTCGCAGGAGAATGAAAATAAAAGTTCTTAGAGAGCTGATGACTACTACATGTCCTTTTCTGGAGAGCAGTGTTGGACAAAAGCATTTCTCACTGAACGCTGGAGTCCACTCAGCCCATGGTGGCTTGTGCCCGTCACCCTTAGCACCTGTCCCTTGGGAAGTGCCTGAGCTGGGAGAAGGTATTCATCCATCTACCGCTGACTTGGGCCTATTCTCCACTCCCCTCCAAGCCTTCCTCATCCGGGCACCCATGGGCATCTCTCCCAGACGCTGCCTTTTCCAGATGGCTTCACTCTCAAGCTCCTGTGCCACACCACCACCAGGACACTGACATTCCCTGTGGGAGCCCACAGCACACCCCTGGGCAGCAGGCACGGGCGCCATGCCTCAGGCATGCCTCAACTCCAGCTATCTCTCTGGGGACTGCTCACAAGGCTCCATTCCTACTGCCCTGGTTTAATGCAGCGGCCGCTGCTGCCTGCCTGAGCGGCGTGTCGCCTCAGGTATGAATGAGCTGGCAGGTCGGATACCAGAGGGGGTCAGGGCAGGTATGAAGGCAGCACTGGACACATTTTCAATCGGTATTAAGAACTGCAAGCATTTTCTTGTTAAAAGAAAATTAAAAAAATAAGAAACCAAAGAGAGAAAAATAAAGAAAAAAGAGTGACGGAATAATCAAAGAAAACCCTTCAGAGCAGAAGAGTTTCTTTTCTGTAATAAGCTGCTTTTACTTTTTTCTTTGGCTCTCACTCCATTGTTGGAGCCTGATCCTCAAAAGATACCCTAGAGGACTCCCTGAAGTCGGGGTGTCTCAGGTCCATGAGAAATTTGGTGGGAGTAAGAATATGAGTAGAACCTGTGGGAGAACAGAGGCCAGCTGACTGCTTGAACAAAGGTAGGTCACAGGAACATGCCAATTTAGGCCTACGTTGTCCGCAGCCAATGGGGCGTGAGGAAGCAGGACTCACAGGCAGGCAGGCATGCACACACACACACACGGACACGGACACGGACACGGACACAGGCAGCAAGGCAGCGGGTGTGCTCAGAGCGGGTGAGGCCACACATTGGACATCAGCTGTCTGTGCGAGGCCCCTCCATGAACCTGCATGGGCAGCTTTCTACCCCTGGCTTTCCACCTCCCACCGTGGAATCTCAAGGCAGACAGAGATGGGGAGACTAAGATTTACAGCCAAAGCCTGGCTGTGACAGCTTCTGTCCAGGAAAGCTGTGTTTGAGCTGTAATTATTCAACACGTTCATGCAACGCATACGCAAGCAGAAAATAGAGCTGTATCACTTGGGCCTATTCCACAGGAAGGAGAACAGTTATAGGGCGCGCTGGCAATCGGACAGGGGAGGCCTGAGAGCGTGGAGCGGGCAGTGCTCTCCTCCCACCAGATGGTGGCACTGAGAAGTGTTCATGGCCTCAAGTCCATCTTGGTGGACCCAGGAGAGGCCATATGACTGGTCTGCGGAGCCTGCACACTGGGATGGCTTGAGGGGTGCTGTGACTTGGTCACCCCAAACGAGGTACACAGCTAACACTTCCTGAGGCAGCGACTGTGCCTGGGGTCATGACCAGCAGTGGGCACCGACAGGTGGGGAACAGGACTTCCCTGTAGTGCTTCACATGTGAACGGCCTGTGAGGCCAGCCTTAGGCGGCAGAGAGGACCCTGGGGGGAAGCACTGCACGCCCCTTCCAAAGGACACTAAGGTCCTGGCCTCATACTTTCCTCAGCATGAGTATGTTCCCACAGAGGCCGCAGCCTGTTGCTGACTAGAAGCGGCAGGAACTTGTTGGGGGAGCCCTTAATGGAGGGCAGCAGTCAGACTGGTAGGTTTGGGGCACTATCTCCGCACACACTGTCTGTCCATCTCCAACGCGTGGGTGGAGGAGGACTCTAGGCACTCCCCGCTCTCTGTGGAGCACCAATGGCATGGGCCCAGTCCTGGGAAACGTGCAGCTCTCAACTCAGGCCTAGCTCAAGGCTGCAAGTGGATGTCACAAAGCTGGTTTTGTTGGGTAAGGAGAATGGCTTCTCGGAGAGAGTAAATCACTTGCTTAAGGGACCCCACTTGGCAGTGGCAGTTAACAGGCTTCAGCCTGAGTGTTAGACTACGATCGGGCAATTTCTACCTCATGGCACTGCTGTTCAGCAAGGACCGACAGGAGAAGGGAACCCTTCACCCCTTAGTTTCTGGTACCCAGGCATCTAGGACCGGGTTTCACTATGGTGACGGAGAACCTAGGACAGAACGCGACACCAAAGCATGGAATGCAGTCTGAGCGATGGGGCAGCTCCTTCCTCTGGAAGGCATATGGGACTCACCTATCAGCACCTCCCACTTGCCGTTGGCTTGGGTCACCTCATAAGCACAGCGCATCTCGTTCAGGCTCACGCCCCCGAGGATGAAAATAATGAGGCGGGGGCCACTGCGGTACTCCCCTGGGGCCTTATTCTTGTGCCAATGCCCATAGCGGGCGCTGAGAAGAGAGAGGAAGAGAGTGATGTCTGTCCGCACCTAGAGCATCCTGTTCTTCATACCGCACTGGCTATTTATACCACGCCACAGCCCTGTACAGCTGGACCCAAAATAGATCAGATGCTTGTAAGGCCTGGCTGAATTGAGCTCCAGTGAAATTCCAAGCCATGTGAGCACCTCTGCTGTGACCTTGTCACTCTCTAGAAGATGCAGGCAACAGACAGATTCAGCCAACTCTGGCGCTGGCCACTGAACCGTGCACACAGGCCAGGGCCCTCACTGGTCCCCGAAGGCCTCAGGCAGGTTGGGCCTCCCGGCACTGGGTCCCCAGGGAGACACAGCCCCTGCCTGTCGAGAGGTGCAAGTTCAGAGACTGGGTAAAAGCAGCAGCTCTGGACTGTGCTGCGATGGAGGAGAGATCGGCACTCCTGTACTCGGGGGACAGGCCGAGTGCAGAGCCGGGTCAGGCACCACCACCACCAGAACGCCCCCCGAGAAGCACGAGGGAGTGGCCCGGCAGGGCAGGGACTCCCAGAGCAGGGAGAAGGCGGTTGAGCCCAGGTTGGGAAAGCAGGAAAAATGAATGAAAGCCAAGTCTCGTCTGGCCACTGATGTGTTCCGACTCAGAATGGCATGCCAGCCGCTTCCCAGCCTGGATGCATCTGGGGCTCTGTTTCCCCCGCTGCCCCCACCAGCCTGGCTGCAGCCCTGTTCGGGATCTTGTCTTTTATTCCAAGCTTGGCAACGAGCAGTTCACCCGTGCTGCCCTCAGAGGGGACACCAGTGCACAGACGCCACCACAGGCCTCGATGAAGATGGAGAGAGGACAAGTGAGAGAGAGGACAGAAAGCAGAGGAGGAGAGACAAAGGGGCACATGCCCTGACTGCCAACCCTGGGAACCTCAGGCACTGCTGCCAGCAGCCACCCTCTTGGAGTCACGGGCTCTGCTGTCCCCGCTCTTGTGCTCAGCCCCAACTGTTCTCAGGAGCCAGTGCATGGAGGCACGGCATTTTGTTTACTTAGTTCAGTCAGTGAATGTTGGTGCTTTCTCCACCCTGGGGCTATAACAAACAGAGCACTGTGAACACAGTGTACCAGGATTTAATCAGGGTGGTCAGCAGAAGCAGGGGTAAGGTGTGGATAAAGACCTGAAGGGGAAAGTGGTAGGTTGTACAGACACCTCTGCTGCATTTCAGGCAAAGGGAAACACAAGTGCAAAGGACCTGAGGCAAAAGTGGGCCTGGCAAGCGGGCTGGTGTGGCTGAGGCAGAGTTTGTAAAGGGAGGAATGAGGAAGGTGAAGCCGGGGGGCGAAGCCGTGTGGGCCACGGTAGGCACCTGGGTGCATGTTGGCTGTGGTGGGGAGTGGGTCACAGGAGATAACCATGTAGGGGCTGGGGGTTTAGCTCAGCGGCACAGCGCCTGCCTGGCAAGCGCGAGGTTGTGAGTTTGATTCCAGGTACCGGAAGGAAAAAAAAAAAAATGAAGCCACTTTGAAGATACCAAAGTATAGCACAACAACTATCGATAATCTCCTACCTCTTTTGTCTGTAACTCACTATTATTTGTCTATTTGTTTTCCTGAGAAACTATCTTGTAGATAACAACGTGTAAAACAATAACCATTGATAATTTCCTACCATTTTCTCTGTAATTTGGTAAGCACCCCCTAGTATTATATTATCCTTCTTTCACTCCTTAAAATTAAAAAAAAAAAAGAAAAAAAAAGAGATAACCATGTAGCTGCCATCCAACCACACCTCATCTCCCTGCTTGTCCCAAGTGTACCCACCTGACAGCGGTGGTACTAAAGGAGGCAGAGGAGCGGGTGGAGATATATGGGTAGTGCTTGGTGTCAAGTTTGTCCTCAATAGTATCCTGCAGAGAAGAAAGACAGCGGTCAGGCCTGCCATCTCTGTGAAAAGGGAACCAAAGGCAGAAGATGCTAAGCACAAGGGAGGCAGCAACAGAGGCCAGGCTTGGATCAACCTGCGCCCTCTCACCACTGCAAAGGCCCAGCCCACTGCTCACATCGGCCACACGTGCACACCTGGCTGTTTCACTGCCCGGGTCAGTAAGCCTACTCTTGCAATTTTCTCTTGAAAAAGTAATCAGTCTGAAGTTACACGTGTGTTCTGCCCAGTAAATTCCTGACACTTGCCACCAGCCTGGTGGAAAATGGCAGGAGCAGAGTCTCTCCTGCAGCCTTTTGAGGGGCTATTGTCTGGGCGGTGGGTTCCGGCCAGCCCCTGCTGCCTGGAAATCGAAACTCTTCCCAAGAGCCATTATGTGACACCTACACATGTCCTCGGGGGTCTCGGGGGGACGGACAAGCAGAGAACAAAGGAGGGAACAAGACACAGGCTGTCTCTGTTCCACTGAGCAAAGACAAAATTTCTTTCTGCATATTTCCCGTCCACCCATCCTTTTAGATTGTGTGCTTTAAAAATAGGAAGCTGCCTCATCCTATCTATCTAACATACGTTTATTTTAACATATGATTTAGTAGGAACTCCTGGGGTGCTACAAACTAAGGGATCCCGGGCAGGTCCTTTCCTGCCCTGGATGCTAGTTTTGCTCGCCTGCCCAGTGTGGTAGTTGAGCAGGTTATCTTGAGGTTAACCCCAAATATCCGGCAGTACAGGACTATGCAGATTCTTCCTGCTACAAGGAGAGAGACTGGGACACGGTAGGGACACCAAGGAACTGGGATGCCGCCACCTTTATCATCTTACAGCGAACAGACATGGAGCACCTGCTGTGTGCAAGGCTCTGTGCCAGAGGTCAGGCAGCCAAGGAGGTGGGATCCCTGCATCAGATGACGAAACTGTAAGCAGCACACACGCACATAGGGGCACTTGACACTGCTCCAGGAGCTGAGGTGCCACTGGTCAGACAGGTGGGGTGGCCACCGTGTGACCTTACAAGACTCTGAGGGAAAGCAGGACCCAGGGAGGGCCAGAACATTCCAGTCAAGGGATCTGTCTGAACAGAGAGCAGAGGCCTGCTCTCCCAGTAGGGGTGCTCAGGGAGGGGAGTGGCAGGCCAGGCTGTGTCGCCTTGCTAAGAGCCTTCTACAACCAGTACCTTATCCATGTGACCTTTGAGATGCTGCCACGAGCCTGGCTCCTTTGGACACTGCACCCGTGGAGGACCCCGTGTCGTGGCCACCTGAGAGCAAGTGAGGCTGGAAGCACCTGGCTCCCCTCCCCACACCCTGCCACTGACCTCCATGATGTCCTTGATGATTGGGGTCCACCGTGAGAGCTGGTAGGTCTGCTCGCTGATGCGCTCCTTCCGCTCTGGCTTGCTCCTGCGGCGCAACGTGGACTGGAGGCAAGCACACAGGCACACAGGCAGTGACATCAGACTCTGACCAGGGGCCACCTGGGAATTCTCTCGAGGACTCCCTCAAAGTCAATGTTGGCAAAGAGTAGTAAGAGGGGAGATTTTCCTCAGAATAGCACAAAATGTACCCCTGGTAGGGCTAGACCACATTTGGTTCTTTAAAGTAATGAAAGATGACAAGTATGGGTCAAATATAAAGTTTTTAAAAATCTAGGTAAATAAGAAAATGTTTTTGTCATCACTAGCCTGGTGGCCTGCTTGTAATTCCAGCTACACTGGAGGCTGAGACAGGAGGAATGCAAGTTCAAGGTTGGCCTTGGCAACTCAGCAAGACCCTGTCTCAAAATAAAAAATAAAAAAATAAATTAAAAAGGGCTGGGTTTGTAGCTCAGTAGTAGAGCGCTTGCCTGGTATCCTGCACATACCAGGCCCTAGGTTTACTTGCCAGTACCTCAGGGAAAAAAAAGTCTCCTGCCTATGATAGGAGAAAATACTACTTTGGGTATGATTTAGTTTTTGATTTCAATAGCATAGGCTGTACTAAATAAATCAGCTCTATTGCCATTTTGACCTTTCTTGTGAATAAGGGTATACAAATACCAAATCCCACCAGTAAGAACGACCATTGGTAGCCATGGCACAGAGCCTGGGTTTTTCAGATTTCAGATCGCCTGCAGCTCTATTAGTCCTGCTCCATGGGCTGCCTGCCTATAGGTGGAACATATTCTGAAAGGTCCTGTAAGACGCCGCCCAGAGCATACTGTGTGGGCCTCCAGACAACCCGCCTGGCTTGGTTCCTGCCCAACCCTTCTGCCCAGTGTTCACAAGTGGCAAGGCAGCCTGTCTTGAAATGCGGCCTTCACTTCCTCACGGCAGACACTGACTTTGAGGCATCCCAAGGTAAAGTCAGACCGATCTCAAGACACAAAGGGTGAAACTGGGTGACCTCTTAGAGTTCGGTTCAGAGACACAGCAGCTCAGCTTTGGTGACCGTGCAACTCCAGGAGACACATGTCTGCTTCCTGACTGTGACCTCTGTACCATGGACACCTTCATCCCCTGATTTCATCTGCCTCTCCTGGGTCCGCCGGTGTGTCATAAGACACTGCCCCTTAGTATAGCAGCAGACAGGACACACCACCCTCTCCCCACCACCACCATCAAGGGCCCTCACATCCGTGACGATGGGCACACCGAGGTGCGCCATGTTGGTGATGATCTCACTGTCCTCTGGGGGGATCTGGGCATGCTGGATCAGCTTGTTCAGGTTCTCCTCTGTGATGCCTGTGGGCACAAGACAGCCATCAGAACACCCAGCCTCCGCTCACCATGACCCACTTCCCCTTGCGCACTGAAGGCAGCTTTTAGCGACAGCAACTCAAATCTAACACAAAGGCAAAACAACACCCCCCCTGCGAGCACTCTGTCCTGATGGCCTCCAGCAGCCGGCCTTCGTGGTCCATGTTCCCATCTGTCCTGCTTTTAGCAGTTCCTACCCACCCCACTGTGCATCCAAGTCAGACTGGACAAGGGAGTCTTATTACCCCTCTCCTGCACCATGGACACTGGGCAACTACGCTGTGGTAAGAGTCAGTTCTTTGATAAAAAGGCAGAGATTACAAATGTGACGCAAGTTAAAAACATCTGGCAGGAAAAGCTCTAGTAAATTGTCACGAAGCCAGTCAGTTCTGCCTGCTTTGTAGCCCTGTCCTATCGTCCACACTGGTTCCTGAATTGCGGGGGGCTACACAGCCTCTGGTTGCAACTGACTTGACTGCAATGCATTTCCCCAAACATGAAGAGCCCCTAGAACCTACTCTCCTCCCCCTTTCTGTCTCTTATAAAACAAGTTCCTGCTATTTTCTCTCTCAGCCTAACCCCTCTGTATACCCTGCCCTTCTTACCATTCTTCAAAAAGATGTAGAGAAGGATGATGCGGATTTTGTCGTAAGTGCTGACATTGGCATCCAGCAGGATGGGGACAATGGCCCTCATGGGGTCCTTGATCTTCTCCCCTTCCGCGTCTGTGCCCATTGCCAGGTCCTGTAGAAAACACATCTTTCTACTTCTGGTGACGGTGTACACAGATGGTGGTGCTTTACAAGTTCATGGCCCATGAATGTCTGGGGCCTGCAGCCTGGTTGGTCAAGCTGTTAACAGGGCTTCTCCTCTCACTACATGCGGAATCAGCATTAGCGTCACGGGCTCTGCTTTGGACAGCTTTGGTTCGAGTGCACGGCCGCCTCCAGGGCCTTCCCCAAATGAGAAGAAACCCAGGGCCCGCTGCCCCTGGGAGGTGAGGCGTCCCCTGGGAGAGAGCACCTGCGCCAGTTCCTCAGCAGCTGGCAGCCCGGGAGAGCCCCGGCAGCTCAAGGGGCCTCCGCACGATGAGGCTCTTTCCATCCCACTCCCCTTGGCATGGAAGGACACGGATTTTGAGTTTTGACTACTCTAGGGTTTTAACTTCTGTTTTTAATCTTCCCACCGCTTTTCAAGGAGGGAAAAGAAGGAGCTTTTCCAAGCCTGCGAATTCGAACCCTGGGAGATGAGGGAGAGACGGGCTGACAAAAGAACTGGGCATGAGGGACTGGAGGGAGCACAGTGCCCCGCCCCATCGTACGCCTGGGCCCCAGGGGGCAGTGTGTTGCTCCCCACAAGCCAAGGGCCACCTGCTCTAGTTCCCAGAGGATCTCCCAGCTTCCTTTGTGGCTCTCTGGAGGCTGTCTGGAGGCTTCCTTTTTTCTCTCAAAACCCCAGGAGTCCAAACAAATGATGACCTTGAGCACTCACTGCCCTCCAGGCCGGGTCTGAGGAAGGTAGGATGGCCCTGCCTCTCCCAGGCTCTCTCCCCTCCCCTCCCAGCCCTGACTCTGCAGGACCTGACTCTCGGCCTCTCTGCAAGCCCGGTTAAATGTAGTGAGTTCAACAATATTTCTGAGAAATTTTAAGCTTCCAAAGATTAATCTCAAACTGTGTTTTATTGACGTAAGAACAACCCATTTTCTGGATGGTCCGCTCCTTTGGAAAGGACATAAGCTTGCCAAGCTCACCTGAGAAATGGATGGATTTTGCCCCTTATAAAATACTCAATAACACGGATGGAGCTCACAAACCTAAGCTGGGCTATCTCACCAACCCAGAGGATTTAAATCTTAAGCTTTACACTGAGAACTTCAGCTGGCATTTTACTATGAAGAGACTTTCAGCTGAGGCTTCACAATCTTTTAATGTCCTGTCTCTTCCTCACAATTTGACACATAGAGGCTGGGGGCAGCTCAGTGGCAGAGCATGTGCTCAGCATGTGCAAAGCCCTGGGTTCCATCCCCAGCACCACCAAAAAAAACTCGACACACAGGTCAGTAACACTGTCACACTTGAAGAAACGAGGGCTGTGTTAAGGGACTCTAATACCCCTAAGAAATGTGTCAGTTCTGTGAATTCTCTTTTGTAGATGAGGAAAATGCAGAGAGAAATAGGCACATGTATATAAATTAGTGACAGAGACAGAACTCAAATCCCAGCCTCTCAAATTCCAGGATGAAACATGGTCAGTGCGGCTTGGGAGGATTCTTGACCTACTACTGCCTGGCTTCTCTCAGCCTCAGTGTTTCCAAAGCTGGCCTGCTGATAGCAGCGGGGAACATCCTGAGGACATGAAATTCAGCCTGTCGATGCATAACTGGGAACTCCCTATGTTTCTCTTCAGCCATTCCAGGGAAAACAAAGCCTTTAGAAAGAGCCAGGCATGCAAAATCCAAATGGCACAGCACTCCAGGTCAGTCCAGTCCCTACCATTGAGAGCAGAACCAGACCAGCTCCAGGGCTCACACAACGTGAGATCACAGGCTCTCCCATGTCTATTTCCTACGATTCTGCAGGATGTTCAAGGTCAGATATTAAAACGCAGCTGGGGAAAGGGCATGGCAGAAGCCCTGCCATGCACAAAGAGGAAAAAAAAGTCCTACCTGCTCCACTCGGCAAAGTTTATCTACGGTGCCTTGGTAATGCTTCATACAGTCCTCGGCAAGGTGCAGGTGGGTCGAATACTGGGAAAAAGCACAGCAGTGTTGGTGATCAAGGAACTAATCGCTGGTTCAAGCAGCATCAGCTGCGTATCTACTGCATTCACCACTGCGCTGGGTACCACCAGTGTCTGGCCTCATAAAGAAGAAAATGTGTGCAAGTGAGTACACAAACACAAGGGAGAAAATGTTCCATGTCAGGAGAGAGGGTAAAGGATATGCTTTTTTGAACCACCTTCCTCCAGGACAGGAAACTTAGTTTCCTTCTCCTCAAGTGGGCAGGGCTGGACTTAGCAACCACTTCTCACACTGCACAGAAGCGAGGGTATGTACGATCAGGACATCCCCCTGGCCCGCTCTCAGATCACTCAGTGTGGGCAAGTCTACAGCCATGTGGTGAGAACACCCAGGCACAGGGAAAGGCCTGTGTGGAAGGAGCTGGGGTCTCCCACCCACAGCGAAGGAGTGGGAGGAACAAAAGAAGAGAAAGACGTAGGGGAGAAAGCAGAGCGATGGGAAATAAGTTGTCCATCCTAGGCCTTTTCTTTCTAATAAAAGTTTTAAAGAGGACTAAATATTTACAATAGCAGAGCTCTACAAGACCTTTGTGCAGCTGTTTACACACAATTCAAATACATCATTCACAATTTCCACACCTTGCTGAGCTCTTTCTGGTACTGGGGCATCTTCTTCAGCATCTGGGACAGGTCCCGCATGGTGGTCTAAGGAAAAGGAAAGCAGAGGTGTAGCTCTACTGGCCTCGACCTAACACGCATTGCAAGGCACCAGACACAGCAGCCACACTGGACTCCCCAAGAGCATGCTCCGGTGCTCTCAAGATGAAGCTCTTAAACACAAGATCAAGTGCGTTTAGATTTCCAGGCCTCTGGCTCAAAAACTTATTGATCTGCATGTCATGGTTTCTTCCAGGTGGAGCACTAAGCCCTGCAGTCTAACAGTTTTATTCCACTGGATTAGGAAGTTGTTGAGAGTATAATTCTTACCAAAAAAAATTTTTTTTCTTTTCTACGCTGCTTTTGGCATCAAGTGTGCACTTCTGCCGAACAGAGAGGCTGCAGTTGTAGACAGATGGAAAGCAGGGAGGTCAGAGAGGGCTGAGAGCCACCCTCCCAACTGGCCAAATAGGTCTGTTTACTGTCCGACTATATGACCCACCCAATCCTGTCCATTTACCCAACAAAAATCTACTAGAGTAGTAGTACACCCAGAGAACTGAGGCACTGGAGATACCAGGACAAAAATCCCAGCACTCAGGAGGCTGAGGCAGGAGGATCATTGTGAGTTCAAGGCCAGCCTGGACTGCACAGTGAGCCCCTGTCTCAAAAAGACAAAAAAAGACAAAAAGAAAAGAAAAGAAAAGAAAAGAAAAACATTAAAAAGAATTTTTGCTTCATGTATCTCACCCTTTAGCAGAGGTACCAAACAAGCCATGGCAATACAGTAAATCTGGGCTTTTGAAGCAGACTCAGTGGATAGCATGGCTACATGTAACTTGCACCTCACTGGTTTAGTATATGTGCTGCGGAAGCGAGCACACCTCACTGGTTTAGACAGAAGCCAGAGGAGGTTTCCCGAGGAAACCATGACTAAGCCTTAGTAAGGCCTGAGGCAAGAGCACTCTGGCTGGCCCAAGCGAGGAGCTGGGTGCAAGAAGGGAGTGGCAGAGAGGACACAGCCTGATGTCTTGGCTTGGGAAGGGATGTTCACAGACAGAAGAAGCTAGATTGTGAGGGGATCCAGAAGACATTAAATGCCGTTAAGGAAGGGGGTAACATGAGCAGAGATGCTTCGCTAAGTCCACTCCCCTTGACTAAACTGATAGGCAGTCAGGTTAAAGACAGACCTCGGTAAATCACGCTATGAATTCTAACTCCACCACAAGTTGAGAAGACTCACGGCTTTCTGCCTTAAAATGACTCCTGAGCCAAGTGTGGTGGTATGTGCCTATAATTCCAGTAGTTTGGAAGGCTGAGGAGGAGGGTTGAAATTCAAGGCACCCTGGGCAACTTAGTGAGACCCTATCTCAAAATAAAAATTAAAAAAAAAAGCAAACATAAATGGCTGGGTATGAAGGTCAGTGCAAAAGCCCTGGGTTCATTCCCCAGTACTGGGGTGGGGGTGGGCAGATCATGATCTCAAACGGCAAATATCAATCAAGTAACAAAAATCAGCTTCCTATAAACATTAAAATATGGACCTTCCATGAATCTCAAATGTATAAGGAAGGCAACTGACATTAAATGAAGAAAGAAATGTGATTCTAGTTTACTCTGAGGGGCATCTTCTTCAACACACAGTGACAGCAGGCACGAAGTCTCAGGCCTTTGAGCACTGGCAAGTGTTTACCTTCTCTCCGGTATTCATTCTCTTGCTGGAAGAAAAATCTTTCAGAGACCGGGTGACTTCCCTGGAAAACGGAAGAAGGCAGTAAGTTTCACAGCTGCACCAAGGGCTCTCTGTGGATGCCGCAGCAGTGACACACTAGCTTTCCTTAGGACTGTGCAGCACCTCTCCTGCCACGGAAGTATGTGTTCAAAGTGATTTTCTAAGTGAAGAGAGATACACTGCTTTCCCAACTAATATTCTAAGCCAGTGGTTTCCAGATTAGGGCATGCCAGATGATTCCAAGGACAACGAGAAGAAAATACCAGAGTACCTATTACAGTTTCCTCTAACTCATTCTTTTCAAGTAAAGAAACATACTTTTTGAGGTGTTGGGATTAACTTTGGCCTTTGTACACTTTTTGAGGGGGGAGTTGTTTTGCTGTTTTTTGGCCCTTGTACATGTGAAGCATACACTCTACCACCAAGCTACATTCCTGAAATGTAGCCCTGAAATATATTTTATGTTTGAAAAATACACCATGTATACGCTGCAAAATACACATATTAGTGCAATAAGGGATATAATTAACTCATAAATACATTTAATCACAAGAAATATAGGTCAGTATTTTTTAAGGTTGAGTGATCCAAAAGATTTGGAGATCATTTCTCTGAACAGAACTACCCAAGAATGTACTGCTTCTTTCCTTGTGAATTTCCTGAGAGCAAAATGTGTCTTTTTGAAAAAACAGAACTGTCACCTGCAGCTTAAAGGGGTTATAACAATGTTTAAATCTTAGAAACACTGTATAGCATTTCCAGAGCAAGGCGCAGTTCAGGAGATGGGAACTACAGGCAAGGGCAGGCGGAGAGGAAGGCCACCCCTCCTCAATCAAAGAAAGGCAGAACAGTACACAGTTCATCTAAATCTTTCAAAGCAATAAAGTGGCTTTAAACACTTGTCTGTTACAGGGTAGATCTAAGAGGGCCCCCGGCGTAACGTGCTCGAAGGCGACTGGACCCTGGGCAGCACAGCCGGCTTGCTCCTGGGAGCCTGCGTCCGCTGGAGCAGACAGTCGTGGGCACAGCCAGGAAGGGTTTGTCTCCGTCTCCAGCTCTTCCTTTCCCTCTCTGTTTCCTGTCCACCGTGCCCCACCGCCAGGCTGTCCTGCACTGGAGCCAGCCGACTATGGACTAAACCATGAGCCGAAATGAACTTCTCCCGTAAGTTGTTGGGGTCAGGTATTTTCTCTCAGCAAGGAGGAAAGTAACTAAGACGATGTGTATAAAGCATTTTTCTAGGAATGCTACAAATGCTTCCCAAGAATCCTAAAAGCACCTAATCCAGAATGGATTTCCTAACTTTGTGAGGAGGGAGTAGCTCAAACTCAGAGAAGGAATGTGTCACTCTTGGGAACATGCTGGTGGCATAGCCACGGCAAGGACTGACTCGGGAAGATGCCCACAGCAGGGGGGGGCGGGTGCGCATCTTACTGGGACACCTCTGCAATGTGCTTGTGGCGCAGCGCTATCCACAGGTCGTCGTCCTCATCCAGGAGCACCTCCTTCACCCGCGCCTCTCCGATGCCGCTGGTCTCGTACCTAAGGAGGAGATAGACTCAGGGGCACCCACCGGCCACCGCATTCACTGGACACCCCTGCTTTATTATAACAGCAGCCTGGTCCTCAGCTGCCAGGTGACCAAGAGAATGTTCCTGATGTGCTGGTTAGGTCAGCTGTGGCAGCTTAAACCCCAGGAGACTAGGCGCTCTATTCTAAACCAACGACTTGGTTAATACTTCAGGGTCGGCTGACCTGAGGGGCCCCCACTCTCTAGCCTGAGCTGCCTTGCCTAGGGCATGAAGTTGGGTTATATGCAGCTTTGGAGTTACATGAAGGGGAAAGGCAAGGCTCCATTTGTCCCTCTCTGGGAAAGGGTTGGGACATCATCCTCAAATATGTAGTGGCAATATGGCTTGCAACAGCTCCCTCCAGCAGGCCTGCGGCATATATTTCACATTACATGTGAAATCAGGAACTGCAGGAGGAAGCAGAACTGCAGGGACTGAGAAGGAGAGGAGCTGAGCGTCACTAAGTTTCAGAATCTTCATTTAGAAACCACCGTCTTTTTGATCAACGTTATAGAATAAATAACACTGAAGACACACAATCTGTTTCCATAAAAATAAAATTTGGCTTTTAGACATTGAGTTGTTTTTTGTTTTATGTTTTTTTTTTAGATAAAGTCTTGCTATGTAGCCCAGGCCGGCCTCAAGCTCAGCGATCCTCCTGCCTCAGCTCCAGAGTGCTGGGATTACAGGTGTGCGCCACCACGCTGAGCTTAGACACTGAGTTTTTGCACAAAAAATTTTTTATAATGGAGAAAATGGCTTTGCTACACAAAAAAATTCAGTAACAATCTTAATTAATATATTCTGTAATATTCTGTAATCTATAATTAAGAACTTTAAATTCTGAGTAAAATAAATACACTCAATACATGAAATCAACCTAATAACCTACCCAAGCAGGCTAGGAAGTGAGGTGAGATAGGCTGAGCTGAAGACCCAAATAAAGTTCCTGTCCTGTCCTCCCTGGAAAAATGTACGAATTCCTTCCTAGAAAAAGCATTTGGATTCCGGGAACCCACAAGAAAGCTTACAGGCATATTTGACAGATTGTATCAATGTATCCGTTTTTTTTAGGATTAAAAAAATGCTTTTTCCTAGAGGCATTCTTGATTCATCTGCAAAGCCGCAGTCACTCTGGAGTCTCTAACATTACTTACTTGTAAACGTCATTTTCAATAGGCAGCAGATCATAACTCATGGCCTGAAAAGTCAGTTCATGAAGCACGGGGGAACTGGGGTCAAAGCCTCGGTCCAGGATCAGGAGCTGGGAGCGCGCCTTGTCTGGGCCCTGGGGGGAAACAGGAAATGCTTCAAAAGCCACTCCACGCAATTCAGCCTCTCCAGCTAGTGCAGCCCCTCTTGTAAAAGGGCAGCAGGAAGCAAATTTACTAAAATAGCATTGAGTATAACAGCACCAATACATCTCATGTGAGACTGTACTGTTTCTGTTACCTAGTGAGGGCCCTTTGAAGCAGATCTGAGACTGCCTGGGGGCCAAAAGGAGCTTCTGTAAGAGAGGACTGCCCAGGTCCAGCTACAAAGGAGGTGACCAACTATCTGTTGTATGGGGAACCAAGGAGTTCCCAAGACCTGGGACTCTCAATTCTAAATGGAAGGTAGTGATGGAATAGCTCTGCATCTTTTATCTCTTTCTTCTTCACTCTCTCTTCTCTTTTTTTGGGGGGGTTGCTAGGAATTCAACCCAGGGCCTCACACATGCTAAGCCTATGCGCTCTACCACTAAGCTGTGCCCCCAGCACTCAGCCGCACACATTGACTGGAGTGGTGGGTGCACAAATCTCTGTCTGAGTTAAAACGGTAGAGACTGCATGCACACCAGGTATGTGCAAAGACTAGTGAAATCTGAATGAGGTCTGGCAATGGAAATGCTATTGTACCACTGGGGGTTTCCCTGGATGAGGGGAGTTTACTGCTGAAACTGGGAAAGTCCTAGCAAACAGCATCAGATTGGTTTCCTTCGTTGCTCTAAACATACCTGGTTCATGCTGCCTCAGGGCTCTGGACAGTGCACAGGAAAAGCAGCCTCACACAGGCAGAACTGTGTTTCCCCAGGGACTGTCAAACACTGTGGTCACTTGGGAAGGTGACCTCGTGGTCTCGGCCTGTACTTACCTCCCCCATTGTTGGGTCATCAGCTTTATAGGCATCAAGCTTGTCCTGGATTAGCTGAGCCAGCAAGGCATTGTCCTTGTATTCCCTGACAAAGGAGGAGTGACAGTGAATGGCCCGTGCATCCAAATGATGCATCGACTGTCCTGGGAAGATGCAGGACAGTGCAGGGAGGGTCAGAAGACACAAACATTGACTGTGCTAGGTTTGTTTTACAGTAAGAATATATATTCATATGTCATATGTATATTTAAAAAAGAGAAAATACTTAGCTCAGTGCCTGAAAGACAAATAAGTGAGTTTCTTGATTCTTCGCTTTTAAACACTATCTAAATGGAAGCAGAAGTAGTCCTTCCAGGCAGCTTTAGATAAACAGCCATACTTCAACAGAGAGCCCTGACCACTCATCTTTTTCCCACTATCAGGACGTCTAAGCCTGACTATGTGATGCTCATTTCCCCTGACTCAAATTCCCTTAGGTCTTACTTTGTTTTGCTGGCAAGTGACACTTCTGTTCACAACACCAGACCCATAGACGCAAAGGCCTGTGACCCGCTCCTCTTGGCCGAGTCTGACAGTGCTTCCTGGGCTCCTCCTGGCTTTGCAGATGGCGCGAGGCTGCTGCCCAACCTCTCAACAGCCTCAGGGCCACACGGCTCCATTGCCAGCCTAAGTTCCCGTTGCTCCATGGGGAGAAATGGCAAGGCCTATTTCTGAACCGCCACCAGGCTCTTGTCACGAGTGCCAACAAGGGGGCCAAGCCGGAGCCAGGGCAGCCATGAGCAAGAGCTCTTCTATAGTCCCCAGTGCCAGCAGACATTGAGGACAGGTGCAGCGCAAGATCCCGGAACCACTGGGCTCCGGGTCCTTGGCAGCCAGCCCCCGCCCCGCCCCGCCCTACCCCGCCCAGCCATGGTGCTTGCAGTGCCTGGGCTGCACAGTCTGTCAGACTCATCCTTCCCTCCTCTCATCACTCCACGACAGCCCCTCTGCTCCTCTGGAGGTGCTTCCTGCTTCTCCTCACCTTGCCTCCTGCTCCCTGTCCTGCCTGCATGCTCCTAGAGCACTGTGTTCAACCCCCTAGCTGTTTCACAGTGAAATCACACGCAAGGACAGAATCCCAAGCCTGACGTTCAGGCCTACAGGAACGGCTGCATCTACCCCACGTGGTGCTGGACTACTAACCCTTTCCAAACTTGCTCTTTGCTTTTGCAGCTCCAAGCTTTGTGTACAGCAATGCCCTCACCATCCTCCATCTGTCTACTGAGATCAGAACCTGTCTTTGAGTCCTAGCTCAGACGCCACCTCAAGCTTGAAGCTCTTCTTCATCCCCTGCCCGCCCTCATGCCTGGAAGCCACTGCATAGCCTGTATCACAGGTGTGCACACCTTGTACACGTTAACACCTACACTGTCCCAACCCTACCAGATCTGGGCCTTCTGAGCATAGGGCTGCATCTTCTGCTTTATGTCACCCCAGCACTCCGCACTCAGCAGTGGGCAGTACCTGAATGACTTCTCAAACTCAGAGGACCGTGCCCTCTGGGGATTATACTCTCCATATTGCATTTTACTCTCAAAAACCTCTGCAAAGACGATACTTGTTTTTAAAGGTCAGAGATTTTTTCCCCCTAGTTTTTACTAGGAAATCTGGGCTCCAGTTACTTTTTCTTTTTTTTTTTTGTCTTTTTGAGACAGGGTCTCCCTATGCAGTTCAGGCTGCTCCTGTGCTTACTTTGTAGCCCAGACTAGCCTTAAATTCACAACGATCCTCCTGCCTCAGCCTCCCAAGTGCTGGGATTACACACGTGTGCCACCACACCAGGCTATGGGCTCCAGTTACATGGAGATTTAAATATGCTCTGAGTAGCTTATTATATTTCACAATAAAATTTACAATTTATCTTTTAAATAAATGAAGATTGGAAGATTTTTTTTTGTGTGTATAGTGCTGGGGATGGATGGAACCCAGGGCTTCCCACATGTTGGCAAGTTTGTTATACCACTGAGCTATATCCCCAGCTCTTGGAAGGATAATCTTTTTTTTTTTTTTTTTTTTTTCCGGTCTTTTTGAGACAGGGTCTCACTATGCAGCTCAGGATGACCTTGAGCTCACTGTGTAGCCCAGGCTGGTCTCAAACTCGCAATGATCTTCCTGCCTCAGCCTTCCGAGTGCTGGGATTACAGGCATGTGCCACCATACCTGGCTAATCTTTTTTTTTTTTTCGAGACAGGGTCTTACTGTATAGTTCATGCTGTCCCTGAACTAACTATATAACCCACACTAGCCTCAGACTTGCAACAATCCTCCTGCCTCAGCCTCCCAAATGCTGCGATTACAGGGGTATGCCACCATGCCCGGCCGGAAGAATAATCTTAAGTGAGAAACCCTAAAGATTTTCTTTTTTTTTTTAGTACTAGGATTGAACTCAGGGCCTTTGCACTGAACTACAGCCCCAGTCCTCATTTTCATTTTTTGTTTTAAGACCAGGTATTACCAAATCACTAAATTGCCCAGATTGGGCTTGAATTTGCAATCCTCCTGCCTCAGCCTACTGGGATTAGACATGTGCCACCATGCCTAACTCAAGATCCTTAAACCCTGACTCTCTTTAGACAACTGCGGGAGAAACCTCAAGGCCAGAGGAAGATGTGGGACGGCTCCTCTCCCAGGACACAAGGGCCCCCACTCTCAGCAGACTGTATTGCCTTACCCCCGGTACCGCACAGCTGGGTACTCCTTCAGGGTGGCACACAGGGTTGCGATCTGCTCTGCCAGACGCTCCAGGATAGGGTTCTTCATCTGAGCCTTGTGGGGACTGTAGAAGCTTTGGAAAGAGTCAGCAGAGTCCAAAGAATACACCTGAAGAGAAAAAATATACGTGATATGTGGTCCAGAATGGTGAGTACGCAGAGTGGTCCCCGCCCTAGTGGCGGGACTATGGGACGTGCTTCCATTTATTTAAGTGCCAGGCCTGCACTGAACTGGGGTAGGCGGATCCCAAACTCAAGGCCAGCCTGGACAACTCAGTGAGATCCTGTCAATAAATAAATAAATATGAATTAGGATAGCGACAGCATCCGGATGGCGTGCTTGATTCCATGGGCACACAGAGCCTTCTCTGTCAGCACATGAGCCAAGTCACCTCAGCATCTGAGCATCAGACATTCAGGCCTAATTGCAGTGCTGGCACTTTGTGATAAATAAGTGGTTTTTGGGTTGCAGTTTGGGCACCCGGTCTCTAAATGGTTTGCCACCACTGGACTAGCGTATAGCTCTGTAGTAGGGCACTTCCCTAGCATACATGGAGCCCTGGGTTCAATGCCCAGTTTTAAAAAAAAATATATGGGGCTGGGGAGATAGCTCAGCGGTATAAGCGCCTGCCTGGCAAGCGCAAGGTCCTGAGTTCGATTTCCGGTACCCCCTAAAAAAAAACTGAAATAGAGGATGGTTGGATCTGCTAAAGCTGGATTCTGTTCAATCCAGGTGCTCACAGGACTCACACAGAGAAAAAAACATCCTGCTCTCAAGCAGGAAAAAGGCTTTAAGCCAAGTGAAAAGGAATGAGACATCTCTAAATGTTCACACTGCATCTTTTCCACCCCTTCTTTTCTAAGAATAGGTTGCTCTCTGGTTGTAGATGCTGATCATAAAGGTCCAATATGCCACAATCATCTTTTACCAGCACAAAATGCATAAGTCCTGTGGTATTTTTATTCCTCATTTGTTAGAAGCTATTTTAAAAAGCCTTAAACATACTAAGGTAAATTTAGTATATTTTCTCACAGGCAGCTTCACTTTTACTGGTTTAACAACTTTGTTTTTTTCCAAGGGGAGAATTTTGCTGCTGCAGCCTTTGGTGCATGAGGCATTAACAGCTAATGACGGCAGACAACCATCTGTTCTCTCAGCACGTGACAAGCCGAGGTTATCTCCAATAAAAAGAGCCTCTTGCATGGCAGATGGGATGCTCCTTCCCCTCCTCTCCTTTTAGACTGGCTACTTTTGGTTATCCAAGGAATCAGCCAAGAGGAGTGAACACCAAGCTAGGATGATGCGCACCCGGAGAAAGGACTGGTGGCCGGTATAAAGTCAGAAGCAACAGGCAAGTTAGATGAGGAGAGTGGGCAGGTACTCATGGAAAAGCTTTTTCACTAAATAAACATCCACATATCCCATATCCTTTGGCCAATTCAGACCTCGAAACTTGCCCTGCTTTCTTTATTACACCCCACCCCACCCCCTCAGAGCTTCCGGTAGGATAATGAGGGTGCAGGCCCTGCCCAGCCTCACCTGGGATTCATATGGGAGAAACGCAATGTTGATTTCCGTCAGCGTTTTGATGACTTTGGCTGCTCGAGATTTTACCAGCTCATTAAACAGGGCATCTGGACAAGCTGTAAGAAGGACAAAAGAGTTGGTTCCCCACCCCTTTGCTGCTTCATTTAATAGCTACACACATTCAGTGATTATTATTCAGATTTTTATTTTATCTTTGGCGGGCCCTGCTATGTAATTCAGGCTGGCCTTGAGTTCACTATATAGCCCAGACTGGCCTCAAACTCACAGTGATCGATGGCCTGCCTCAGCCTCCCAAGTGCTGGGATATAGGCATACGCCACCATGCCTGGCTCTTATTATTCAGATTTTTAAAAGGCAATTTGAAAATTCATCCTATCCTAAAATATCCAACACCCTTAGGGTAATAAGAAGAAGGAAAACTACCTGCAAGGCCCTCAACAAGGTGCAGAAAAACAAATAGCAATAAAATGAGATACTGAGAGCTAATATAAACTTATTTCTGATTCCAAGGAAATGAAACGGGGAAAAAAACCCAGAAGAGATTGTGGGGAAAAAGGAACACTACTACATTGATGGTAGGAAGGTAATCTACTATAGCCACTATGGAAATCAGTGTGGAGGTTCCTCAAAAGACTAAAAAATAGAAATTCCATTTGACTCAGCTATCCCGCTTCCAGATATCTTCCCATACGAGTTGAAATCATTATAATATAGGGATACATGTATACTCATGTTTATAGTAGTACAATTTATAATAGCTAAATCTTTTTTCTTTCCTGGTACTGGGAATCAAATTCACGACCTTGCGCTTGCCAGGCACACGCTGTGCCACTGAGCTATATTCCTGACCCCCTATAATAGCTAAATCTTAAAATAGCATACTGCATATGTCCATCAACAGATGAATGAATAAAGAAAATGTAGTATTTATGCCAAATGTAGCACTATGTGGCCATAAACTTGAGGCATTCATGGGCAAATGGATGCAAATTGAGGGCATAATATTAAGTGAAATAAGTCAGACATACAAACTCACCTGCAGTTTTTTTTTTTATTTTTTTCCAGTACTGGGAATCGAACTCACGACCTCACACTTGCCAGGCAGGCACTGTGCCGCTGAGCTAAACCCCCAGCCAACCACACACACAAACTCAAATATCCCACGGTTTCTCTTATATGAGAAACACAAAGAAAATAGAAGAGAGATAAACAGGAAATAAAAAGTTCAAATACTTCCCCAAATTATAAGTTCTATTGTTTTAAAAATATTTCAATATACATGCTCATTGGTTTCATTTATACTACTAATTTTCTTAGTTCATTGAAAAGAAATATTTGTGCTATTGTCTTTTTCTTCTAAGAATCTTTTTGGTTTATATCTTGTACTTCACTTTGAAGATAACAATAAACAGTGTAATAACTATTATTATTACTTGATTATGAAATTTTGTTTTACTTTTTCATAAAATAAAAGGAAACAGAAGTGATTAAGAAGAGCTAAAGAAAGGCCTTTAGTATAACCAAGCGCCACACTCTTAACATATTTACAGGAAGGAAAAGTAAAATCAGTGGGAAATGTGATGCAGGCCCCTGCCCCTCCCCTGACCTCTGAGGAGCCAGCTGCACACAGGCCCCCGGCAGGGACCACAACCTCCAGCAGCTCTCCCAGGCCAAAAGCTTCAGGTGTCCAGAAATGCATTCCTGGCTTACTGTCGCTCCTCCTCCCTTTGTCACTCCTGCTCAAGTACTTTGACTATTCTGTGCTAAGCTTTTCCAATGTCCTCAGAGGTGACTTGCGGGGGGG